CTGGAGGGTGAGCAACAGGGCAGAGAGGCCGAGGCCTTCCCCTGATGTTGCCTCCTGGCTCTGGGATTCAGAGGCTTAGTGCCTCTGAATGTGGAGGCTCCCCTCAGTCACCATGGCTAGTAGTCACTGATAGACTCATCCTCCATGAATCTATCTCATCCCCTTTTATAGCTGCTTATTCCTGTAGCCATCATTCTATCCTCTAGCAGCAAATCCCACATTTGAATCACATCTTTAATTGGCTGCAACTTGATGGGACTTCTCTCTCACACACAGGGGTCATTTCCTGCAGGAGCGCACAGGAGCGGAGCTCCGGCAGTAAAGAGCCCAGGGGGCGGGCACATGCAACTAGCCCCACCCCCTGCTCCCAGCAGCCCTCAGTCAGAGCAAGAAGCAGCCAGGTAAGTTGCAGAGCTCCCCCCGGTCCAAAACAGTCCAGTAGCGCCTTTAAGACCAAGTTTTATTCAGGTACAAGCTCTCCCTCCTGTGTGAGGACAGATCTGCACGTTCCTCACCCCCCCAATAGCTAGGAATCCAAAACAATCCAGTGGAGCCTGAGCGGTGGGTGTTGCCTTCTGACACACTTCCGGTGATGTCAGGGGGTGTGGCATATGCAAACAAGTTATGCTAATGAGTTATGCTAATGAGCTCCTGCACCTCTTTTTCTACGAAATGACCCCTGCTCACACACACACACACTCACACACACACAAGATGAAGATGTTAGTCTGTCTATAGCAGTAGAAAAGAGCAAGAGTCCAGTAGCCCCTTAAAGACATACAAAATTAGTGGCAGGGGAAGAGCTTTCATGAGTCACTGCAAAGGAACTTGGCCAGCTACTTCTCAAATGACCACTAGAGGGAAGTATCTCTGCCTCTTTGGCTTGCTTGTTTGTTTTGGATAAGTACTGTGTGTTCACTCTGAGGTAAAATGGATTCATTCCATTACTCTGTGAGGCAGTCCCCCCCCCCCCCCCCCCCCCGTGCCTGTTTCCACACTCCATCCCCAAGGAATACATCCAAACACTCTCAGAGTTCTCCAACTCAACAACTTTATTCAAAACTTTTTGTTTTTGTTTTCCTGCCCCCCAGGGGCTACACTGTCCCAGGGGCCCTGTCATCCACCTGATACTCCCCTCCCGATTTGGCTACAACTACACAGTGAGGCCTTGGCTAAAAACACCCCCCCCAATACAGGTGCTCTCTATATGGTGGTGCGCATGGATGTGCAAGGGGGTATGGTGGGAGGCAAGGACATGGTTTGGGAAGACTCTGGAAGCCCCACTCCTATACCCTAAAATCTGTGGGGAGGGGGGAGGTTTCCTGCCAGTGGCCGGAGTCAGAGGCGTTGTGGGCCTGCCCATCTCATATATCTTGTTCATGGCTGTTGCCATAGATACGTCTTGGATGTATCAATCTGACTAGCCGAGGGCGACAGCAGAAGAGAGTGTCCTACGGTGATGGGAGGCAGAGGCAGAGGTGTGGGCGGAGCCAGTTGCGAAAGCGGCGCCATCGGCGTAGGCGGGTCTCCCTCAGCGTCCCACAAGCTGATCAGCGGTGGATAGACCTCGTTGAGTGGAATGGCGGCTGCGTGCTGCATGTACTTCTTCAGAGAATGGCGGCATCCTTTTTCCTTGAGCCGCCGCGAGGCGTAGAGAAGCAGAAGCACTGCGCTCAGGGCCGCTAACAAGGAGCCGGTGACGGCGGCCAGGGCTGCCCCGCCAGCCCACCCGCCCATCAGTTCCACGGAAAGCGACGCTTCCTTGGTGGTGACGTTGAGGCAAGAGTGCTGCATGCGAGGCAGGTGTGGAAGGGGCGGAGTAAAGGTGGAGATGGTCGAGGGGTCCGTAGGAGGTGCAGAGGAGCCTTTGGAAGTTGCTAAGGAAAGCATAGCTGCTAGGTGACTTCTGGGAGGTGTCGAAGACCCTTTGGGGGCTGCCAGCGACCCCAGAGAAGCACCTGTGGTTGCTAAGACTGTTTCGAAAGAACTCGTGGAAGATAATGAAGAGCCTGTGGAGATGGTTAAGGATGGGGGAACATCGGTGTAACCACCCATCTCTGAAGCCTTGGGGATGGAAGACATGACGGTGAGGCAAATCTCATAACGGGTGGCAGGCTGCAAGTGTGTGAGGTTGAATTCCCGGATACCCACCGGAACCCGTGCTGTGTAGCTCAAGTGGGGGTTATGGATGCGCATGGTCGCCGAGGACCACAGAGAAGGAGGAGGTGGCTGGGCAGTCACTGACCCGCCACCCCTCTCATTTCCCTGCCCATCTGAGAAGGATGTCGACCACTCCACCACCACAAAATGTGACTGTACCTTCTTAGCAAGGACCAGCAGCCTGGCGGGGGTGACGGGTCTTTCACTGATCACAGCCACGGCCACGGTCTGGCTGGTGGAGCCCAGTACATTCCATGCCACACAAGTGTAGATTCCGGAGTCTCCTGGGCTGATCGAGGTTATCTCTAGGGTTCCCCCTACCCTCAGGTGCAGCTTCCCTGTCCCTGTGGTTACTTTTTCCCCAGATGGTGCTATCCAGTGGAGCTGTGCTGGTGGTTCTGAGCTGACCTGGCAATCCAAAGCTACTGTCGAGCCCGAGGGTACCTCCAGCTGCTCCGGGAGGCCCTTGGAGGATATGTCCGGCAAGCAAGCTCCTACCATGCCATTTTTCAGGGCTTCCTGGAGTTGTTGCCCGGCAGCTATTGCAGGTGAGCTGCAGAGAGTACTTTGGGACTCAATCAACCGAATGGCCCCCGTGGCTAACGGTTGCCAAGCCTCTGGGCAATCGCAGCGCAGTGGGTTCCCGTAAAAACTGAGCTCAGCCAAGGCGGGCAAGTCATCTGTCACCCCTAGCGGGAGGAGACTGAGGGCTGTATTGCTAGCAAGCAAAGTGCGAAGAGCAGGCACCTCCTGGAATGCACCAGGATGCAAGTAGGACAGACGTGGGTTGTTGCACAGTTCGAGCTTGGCCAGCTCTGGAAGGTTCTCAAAAGCACCTTTGTGAATGCCTGTCAGTTCCTCCATGCCATTGAGGCTTAGTTCCTCCAGGTGTAGCATGTCCTGGAAGTCCCCTGCCTGCACCTCCGCGATAGGGTTCTTGTTGAGATCCAGGAACTTCAAGAGAGGCAGACCTTTCAGGGCCCCAGTGGGGACATGTGTCAGGTGGTTATCAAAGAAGGACAAACTCTCCAGGTAGTCCAGCCCTTGGAAAGCATCTGAGGGGATCTCCCTTAGCTCCATCCCAGCCAAGACGAGGCTGTGAAGCCGTCCCAGTGGGCGGAAGCTACCGGCTTGTAGTTGGGAGATGGGGTTCTCTCCAATCATCAGGATCTCCAAGTTGGGGAGCGAGAGGAACCAGCGGTGGTCGATGGCACGGAGACGATTGGCGTTGAGGTGCAGCCGGAGCAGACTGGTCAAGCCGGCAAACGCCAGGGGCTCAATGGAGGAGATGCGGTTGTGGTTTATGTACAGTTCCTCGAGAGAGGCCAGGTCACTCAAGCAGTGGTCAGGCAGCTCCTCCACCTGGTTTTCCTCCAAGTAAAGAGTAATGAGGCGGGAGAGGTTCGCCAACCCGGCGTCACTAATCCTGGAGAAGTGGTTCTGTGACAGGTCGAGCTCCGTCAGGTTGGACAGGTGCTGAAGCTCCCCATTGACTTTGGATATCTTGTTGCTCTGCAGCAGAAGAACTTGCGTGTCCGAGGAGAGATTGCTGGGCACGTGAGTCAGCAGCAGGTCATTGCAATCCACCGTGCGGGCCTCGTGGTAGACTGACTGGGGGGTGAACCATGGACGAGTCTCACAGACACATTGCGGGGGACAGGTGTGAGTGCCAGACAGTGACCCCTGCATTAACAGCACCAACAGTACACGGAGTGGGAAGCAGGACATCGTGCTGTCCCCCGATGAGTCCCTTTGACCACCCAGAGACTGGGGTGTAGCTTAGGGAGGGAAAGGACAATCTTGATCTGCAGGATATGGATCTAGAGGAGCCCACGGAGCAAGGACATCCCTAGAGGAGAAAAGAGAGAAGGCATTAGACAGGTAGGCAAAGAGAGGGATCTGTACAAGGTTTTGACATGTCCAGAGATTCCATGCGCGAGCATGGACTCTGAAACAGAATTTGGCAAAATAAGTCTACAGGCTATCTGGGGGACATATTTATAACAGTTTCTCCGTAGCTGTTGCGACCCCTGATACAGTGCAGTGATAATGGAGGTTCAACATGGTAGATTTCCTTGCTTTTTCCATGTCCCAGTCCCTCATGGTGGCCGTCTCCCTGATGCCACTAGGAGCTTTTTCATTTTTTAAAATCAGTAATTGACATATTGTTATGATGTTATAGCAATCGGCCCATCAGGTTGTTACTGCCTTTACTCTCAGGTAGCCCCAATAGCAGGGGCACCCCACTTTCTAACCTGAACCAGAGACCTACAAAACTCAGGCTCTGGAAACTGGGTCTCCATTTTCAGGTGACAACAAAGCAACCCTCAGAGCAAAACTCCAGTCTTCTCCCCCTCCCAGGAAGATATGCATATGAAACCATGGCAGTTCCAACAGGTAAAACATCTGCATTTCTAAAGGCTATTCAGAGGCCATCTGGTGAACAGCCCTCCTGTCTCCAGTACCTCACCCAGCCCTTTTGTGTGGTCCCATGTCCAAGATGAATTCTTTGTCTCAATATTTGTCCTTCCTTGCTCCATCCCTCAGGATACCGAGATAAACCAATCAAACATTCAAATTATTAACAATCCTTCTTGATGCTAATCAGGGACCCATCTCCTATCTTTTGAATATATCTGGGAACCTATTCAACTGCCTTGGCAGAACCATCAACAGACATAAAATCTATTCAGATAGCCCCAGTACAGTCATCCAACACCTGGCTTCTATTGTTAATCCAGAATCTGCCCCCTCTGAGATCTCATTGGTCACATCTAGGCCTTGCCCATCCTGGTGCCATGCACCCATGGTACTCATCATTGACCCAGGTAATCTTTTGTCTTCACCTGAGACAAGGCCCTCAAGACCTCCTATTGGTCTGCATTGTTTTCCATTGTCTATATCCATCCAGGCACATGGCCTCAGACTGTATGTCTGCCCCTGATGCCAACTGGCAATTCACCCCTAAAACTTTGGTTTGGGCCATATTCTCATTTCCATGGACCTCTGCACATCTGGATAGGTTGTATCACCCTGTAACTGACCCCTCTATTCGTTATCAATCACCTCTGCTTTCTTATTTCTGTGTTGTGTGTGTGTGAATGCTTGATTATATTTAGTAAAGAAATCATTATTTTAGCTACTGTGTGTCTATTCCTGGGTTCTTGGGAATTCTGACTCCAGTATACACAGGTCCTGATCCATGCTATATGCCTAATGCCATTTTATATTCATAATACCCCAAGCTATTATTAAGAAATAAGGCAATTTGGCTAACAAGGTTCCCTGAATTCCCAGTTTGCATTAACAAGGTAAGCTTCTAGCCCCTTTGCTTATTGAGATATAAGGGTCAACACAAACATTTTGTAAAAATGAAATGACAAGAATTCTGAGAACCTGACAGATAGATTGTTATAATGTTATAATGCTATAACTTATGGAATTTAAAGCAAAATGCTCTTTGGTGTAGGGACGGTTACTGCAGGGAACTGGGGCAGGGGAAATGATACCAGTTTGGACACAGCTGGAAAGATCCAGACTTTCCCGTACACGTAAGTGCCACCTTGGTTTTCTGCAATCTTCCCTAAAACATTGCAGGAAAGCAGCTCTGGGAAAGATGGCAGGAAAGATGGGAGAGACCCCAGGACGCATGTAAACGCCATGATGATGGATGGAAGTAGGAAATAAAACCCGCTTCCCCAAGAGCATCCAAGTCATGGCAAATAAACGATGTGTGCGTGACATCTCCCTTTCTCTCCCCATTTTCTTAAAAACTGGTTTCTGGACATTGTTGTAGGGGACAATGTGAACCACACCACATCACCGGAAACAGGGATTTGCTAGTGGTCCAAGGGTGGTCCCTGTACTGTTGCGCCTTGTACTGACCTGAATGGCCCCGACTACCCTGATCTTGTCAGATCTCAGAAGCTAAGTTTGAGAGTCAGTTTGGTGTAGTGGATAAGTGTGCCGACTCCAATCTGGGAGAACCGGGTTTGATTCCCCACTCCTCCACTTGCAACTGCTGATGTGACCTTGGGTCAGTCACAAGCTCTGGCACAGCTGTCCTTGAAAAAGAGCAGTTTGTGTCAGAGTTCTCTCAGCCCCACCCGCCTCACAGGGTATCTGTTGTGGGGAGGGGAAGGGAAAGGAGTTTGTAAGCCGCTCTGAGACTCCAAGTGAAGGGCGGGGTATAAATCCAATCTCCTCCTCCTCCTCCTAAGCAGGGTCAGCCCTGGCCAGTACTTGGATGGGAGACCACAAAGGAAGTCTAGGGTTGCTATGCAGAGGCAGGCGATGGCAGGCCACCTCTCTTCATCTCCTGCCTTGAAAACCCCCATGAAGAGTTGCCATAAGTCAGCTATGACTTGACGGCACTTTCTGCCACTACTGTTTCACGTGCCTTTCCAATTTCCTGCCCCCCCCCACTGTTCTCTTATGTCTACCCACTATGCACTATACCTATGAAAATCCATTCCTCAAATCTACCCAAGCTCTTACTCTTTCAGATTCATCATGCACTTTGCACCAGAGTGGGATGAGAAAACATGTAATTGTCTGTACAGGACTCCCATAATCCACAGCTCTTGTCTATAGATCCCATCTGATTTGTCTGCAGAAGCCATTTTTAGGGCACTTATCACACACTATAAAATCATTAAATTGGACAAAAAGGCCGTAAGAATGTTACATGATGAAAAGACAGAAAGACAGTTTGCAGAGCCTTTCTCTCCACTGGCTGAGTTGCTGTGATGTCACAGAAGCCTGAAGGTCATCGTTGCCAGCACTCTGGCTTGGGTTTATTGAAATGAGCCCCCTCTCCCAGCAACCGGCTGTCCTCCCATGATGTCACAGAGTGTTGTCGGACCTTCTAACTTGTCAGGGACCTCACCAGTCATTTGCACGGAAGGCAGAAGTTGAATTTCCCCAGGTGTGGATTTCTCCATCACACTGCTGCAGAGCCTGGGAAAAGCTGCACCTTTATCACGTTCTTATTATTTAATGTTAACTCCTGCAGGTATAGAAATTCTATTATGGGTCAAGTTTTAGATAGGGTTCCCAACAGGCCTTATTTCCGTGCTTGTAGCAGTAGTTTGGTTTCCAGGAACCGCCATATGGAGCCTCTCACTGTGCGGCAATAATAATTATCACTTGCTAATAACTGCACATGAAGCTGCTGTTACGGGGACAGGAAGGAAGCTGTTTCAAAGAGATGACCGCCTTATTGTCACCACAGAGATTTCAGGCATAGCAGGCGCTGTGGCCACTTTCAATGAACGAACGTACAATCCGTGTACAGCGTATACTTGTTTTTTATTTATATGTGGACTGAGTAATTCTCATGTTACATTCAAGGCATGGACAGCAGCTGTGGGTGCGATTTAAGCCCCACATTTGGCCACGTACCGGGGTGCCAACCTCCAGTGGGGCCTGGCAGTACTGCTGATCTGCAATGCCCCTTCCCAACAGCACCCAAGCTGAGGAATCCGTTGTTCTGGAGACAATGGCTGTTTTGGAGGGTGCTAAGCAGTGCCAGTTTGGTGTAGTGGTTAAGTGCGCGGACTCTAATCTGGGAGAACCGGGTTTGATTCCCCACTCCTCCACTTGCACCTGGCTGGATGACCTTGGGCAAGCCATAGCTCTGACAAGAGCTGTCCTTGAAAAAGAGCAGTTTCTGTCAAGAGCTTTCTCAGCCCCGCCTACCTCACAGGGTATCTGTGGTGGGGAGGGGAAGGGAGTTTGTAAGCCGCTTTGAGACACCTTTGGGTAGTGAAGGGTGGGGTATAAATCCAATCTCTTCTCTCCTTCTTCTTCCCTCGAAGCCGTGGAGTCTTGTGAGCAAAAATTCTACTTTGTGAGCGACTGGCGTTAAAGTTGTGAGCGAGCGATTCGGCTGCGGCATAACTTAGTTTGCCCTGGAGCCATCCTTTCTGAGCTAAGGCAAAAAATGTGTGATCTGGAGGCTAAAAAACTGTGAGCTAGCTCACACTAACTCAGCTTAGAGGGAACACTAAGGTCTCCAGGTGGTGGCGGCTAGAGATCCCCCAGAATTACAACTGCTCTTCAGGTGACGGAGATCAGAACCCCTGGAGAAAATGGCTGCTTTGGAAGGTGGTTTCCATGGCACTAGAGGCAACGGATGTGCCTCTCCACCCCAAACAGTGTTCCCTCTAAGCTGCGCATGTGAGTGGCCACTCGTCAATCCAGGAAGCTCTGCTCTGCAGCCATCTGGATCCGCGCAGGGTCTCGCGCTGCCCATTTCCCATTTTAAGATAATGGCGGATCTATTCTGCTCAGGATGTGAACTGCTCTGCTCAGTAGGGGGAAAACTAGAGTGAACATTGTCCCCAAACCCCACATTCCACAGGCTCCACCTCCCAAATCTCCTGTTATTTCCCAACCCAGGGCCGGCAATTCTAGAGGGTGACTCCATGGCATTATAACCTGGCTGACATCCCTCTCCTCTCCAGGAGGAAGCCACCAAATCTCCGGGATGTTTCCAGCCTAGAGGCTGGCAACCATACCAGAGGTTCCCTCTAAGCTGTGTTAGTGTGAGCTAGCGCACAGTTTTTTAGCCTACAGCTCACACATTTTTGTCCTAGCTCAGGAAGGAGGGCTTCAGAGCAAACTCATTTATGCCGCGGCCAAATCGCTCGCTCGCAACGTTAATGCCGGTAGTTCACCAAGTAGAATTTTTGCTCACAAGACTCCACAGCTTAGAGGGAGCATGCAGCTACGGGTCTCCAATGTCATTTGTAAAATGAACGCATGTTTGGTTCTTTCTTACAAACAGATGTATGGACATACGTGCAGGATGTACATGTGTTCAGTATAACATGCGA